TGGTGCCACTGCACTCCAGCCTGGGACAGAGCAAAGACTTCATCTCAGAAAAAAGAAGAAAAAAAAAAATCCTCTTGATTACATTATCATTGATATTGTTTTCATTACTTTTGAAACATTAAATTGGTCCAAGACAATATAAAAAAATATTGTAAATGTTGGCCGGGCGCGGTGGCTCAAGCCTGTAATCCCAGCACTTTGGGAGGCCGAGACGGCGGGATCACAAGGTCAGGAGATCGAGACCATCATGGGCTAACACGGTGAAACCCCGGTCCTCTACTAAAAAATATACAAAAAAACTAGAGCGGGTTGAGGTGGCAGGCGCCTGTAGTCCCAGCTACTCAGGAGGCTAGGCAGGAGAATGGCGTAAACCCAGGGAGGCGGAGCTTGCAGTGAGGTGGGATCCGGCCACTGCACTCCAGCCTGGGCGACAGAGCAAGACTCCGTCTCAAAAAAAAAAAAAAATTGTAAGTGTTAATAACTATTACAAATACAATTTAAGGGGGTTGCAGCTTGTATTTAAGCAAGGTGTTTTCAAGGGTGCATTCATGAATATACCTTGACTATAATGAATGCATTTCTAGTATATGAATGTATTGTGCAATATTTGGTACCTATCTATACTAATAAATTATTCATTAGTTATCTGAAATTTAGATTCAATTTGGTGTTCTGTATTTTACCTGGCAACCCTATACCCAGATATTAGAGTTATTCATTTTCTCAACACTCATGCCGATCAATTATTTCAAATCATCCAGGAGGCTTCGACACCCAGAGAAATATATCATTTTAAAACTCATGGTAGGTGAGAGGTAAGCCTGTCTTTTAAGAGAAGACAGAGAACCATTGTGAAAAGGGAGATGAGAAGACAAAACAACCCTGGCAACCTTCACAGTTCTTGTTTTCAAGCAGATCAGTTTTAGGAGAAACTACATATGAAAGTTGAGAGTCAGGCTATTAATTCCTTAAAACTATTTGAGCTCCCACCTCCCTGTTGGTAAGTCTTTGTAAAAACCCAGGGGCACACTTACCCCAATTTAAAGACTATGGCTGGCCAGGCACATTGGCTCACACCTGTAATCCCAGCACTTTAGGAGGCCAAGGTGTGTGGATCACCGGAGGTCAGGAGTTCGAGACCAGCCTGGTCAACATGGCGAAAACTCATCTCTACTAAAAGTACAAAGATTAGCGGGGCATGGTTGCGGGTGCCTGTAATCCCAGCTACTTGAGAGGCTGAGGTAAGAGAATTGCTTGAACCCCGGGAAGCAGAGATTACAGTGAGCTGAGATCTCGCTACTGCATTCCAGCCTGGGAGACAGAGCAAGACTCCATTGCCAAAAAAGTAAATAAATAAAAACAAATAAAGACCATGGCTTATGAAATCCTTGAATTGACTGAGTCCCACGTTTTTCAAACTGGTCATGAGAGCTAGGGTCAGGCCTACTAGGTTGGAAGCAAATTAACATGTCTCCTTTACAACATTTTGCACAATTAAAAAAAAATAGTTTCTCTAGATAAATGTGTCTGGGCAAGCACTGTATGTATTTGCTCACTGCGTTATTCTAGTACTAGTAGAGTGTCTGCTCAAAGGTGCTCAGTAAACCTTTGTTTACTGACTAACAACAATGGAGCCAATCTATCCAAACTATCCACTTAGGCTTTCTCTATTCTAAACCTGCATCCATATCTTTAATGGTGTAACATACCTTGCATTTTTTTTCTAACTCTTTGTATATCTCACATACTTTATAACAAAAGCTCCTCTTTTCCCCTCAGCATCTAGCTGTTATCCTTGCACAGGGGCCATGCTAATCTTCTCGGTATGGTTCCAATTTTAGTATATGTGCTGCCAAAGCAAGCGCAGCCTAAATGTATTTTCTCTCCAAATACTCTTTTATTTTCTTCCAAGCCAGTGAATTCCAAGCTCCAAATACTCTTTTCACGACAGAAATACACAAGGAAACCTTTGAGGAAAGTGACAAGATAGACACATACTGTATAGCCATTACTATCTTCAGTTTTCTAGGTCTGTTTCTTTGTTTGTGGTTTTGTTTTTTCATTTTTATTTTTTTGAGACAGAGCCTTGTTCTGTCACCCAGGCTGAAATGCAGTGGCACAATCTCAGCTCACTATAACCTCAACCTACTGGGCTCAATCCATCCTCTCACCTCAGCCTCCTGAATAGCTGTGACTACAGTCATGGGCTACCATGCTTGGCTAATTTTTGTATATTTTATAGAGACAGAGCCTTGCCGTGTTGCTCCAGCCCGTCTTAAACTCCTGGGCTCAAGTGATCTATCGGCCTTGACCTCCCAAAGTGCTGGAATTACAGACATGAGCCACCACACTTGGCCTCTCAGTTTTCTAGTTTTTTTCCTACTGTCAGTGTATGAGCAAAGTGTGAATGACAGAGTTTTTCACCCCATTCCTGGCTTGGAACTCTGACAATCCCTGAGAGCGATATGCTTTCAGTATCCTATTATTAAATAATCAATTTAAAAGTATGTTTCCCTTGGGGGGAATTATTATTAAAAATATTTTTTCTCTGGAGGCAATTTCACATAATGTTGTAACAACTTTAGTTGTAGCCTAATGCTTTTTCACTGTAAGTTTTTAGATTTTTATGTATAAAGAAACCCAGGAATCTAGAACTGAAAGTGAAAGTGAAATCTAACAGGGAACATGCTGTTCTGATTCCAAAGTAAATCTGAGAGTCCTTGTAAATGTTGAGAATTTCCTGGTCTATTGATAACTTTATAACATCTTGCAAATAAAATACAATTAGATCAGCCTTGAATGAGTGCTAAAGACCAAATTTACAAAGAAACTTCCTCTAATGTAAAGCTGTAGTCA